CGTCGTGTATTTGGAAACAGAAATTCTATTTCATAAGCTTTAGCTCGTTCAACGAAAACAGCTCCACTAAGAGCATTTCGGTGTGGTAAGGGCCCAGGCGAGTTTAGAGCGTCTCCGAAAGGTTTTCATTCTTATTTTGGGCCAAGCATATTGAATGTCCCGTGCCCTCTTGTTTTTTTCTTTTTTTTTCAAAGGCAAATAATTGACGTTTTATTATCAATGATAAATTCATAATCGAATAAAGGAAGTTTGTGTGTGCGTATATGCCCCCCATTTTTACCCCAGCCTTCATCATAATCGCCAACCCATTTTTTCCATGGTTTGAATCCGATAGCTCTCTCCATGGAAAATTCAACTATTTCCTGCTAAAGTACAGTCTCTTGAGTGTTTCAACCCTCATCCTTCATTATTCTTCCTAAGAGGTTGGCCTGCCCTGGATCACGGACAGTGTTAATTTTTTTTTAATATAAAAAAAAGTTTTGGTAATGAATGATAACCTTATTACACTCTAGTTAATTTGATAAACTCATCATCCATAATATAATCTTGAAATAAAAAAAAATTACTTTAAAAAAAATCATTGAAAAAAATTAAGTTAACCTAAGTTAATTAACTTGTGACTTGAGATGGCCCAACATAAAAAAAAAAAAAATTCACAATTCAGAGCTCAATAACCTATTGTTAAATGATAAAAATAAAAAAAGTAAAAATCAAATGAGTTAACTCGATAAAATTGTGACCCGCGATATGAGATCAATATCAAAAAACTATTTTTTTTAAAAAGGCCTAAAAACAAGACCAAAGTTAAATCAATAAAAAAAACTAAGTTAAACTGGGTTAACTTAACTAACTCACGACCTGCGATAACCTCATATAAAAAGAATAAGAAAGAAGCCCATTAGAGAAATACAGACAATCCCTACTGCCACACGTCTGATCACGAAAGATCTCAATGGCTCATTTCTAACACTTGTATGAAAGGCTATGTTTAGTCATCATAGGAGCCTGCATGTGACAACTTTTTTTTTGTATTTATTAAAAGACTAAACTAACCCTCATCCAAAAAGACAAAAATTATATGATTTTTTTCCTAGAAGAGTATTTTAATTAGATATTTTATTGTCCTTTTGAAATTGAAAACTAAAAAATATACCTACACAAAAGTTAATTAAATTATGCTTTTGAGGGTATTTGAGTCATTACACAATGCAAAAGAAAAATAAAAATACCGATATGCCCCTATTCAATATTGTAATGACAAATATATCCAATAAAAAAATCATATTATTCCTGAAAATCATATTATTTTGCTTTGTTTAAGAAGAGAAAATTTAATAATTCATTGACCAAGTCTACAATGAATTGTGATATTCACAGTGAAATATCAATCAATCTTAGTTTTTTTTAAGTTTAATATGCATAAATACTTGCATGTAAGGGTTTTTTTTCCTAAACATGACATATCTTAATATTCTTAAAAGTCTCTTAAATCCATGTTCCCCTGGAAGTTAAGTTGTTGATTTCATAAATATTTATTAGCCCGTTGGATATATAAGTGAATTTTCATGATCATTTCATGTGAAAAGTTAAACTAAAGAAGAGATTATCGATTACCATTCTGGATGTGTCCTACAATTAACTTACAATTATACAAACCGTTCCTTTTATTTCTAAAATCACATGAACCATCTTTGTTTTTATGTGCCCATCTTAACAAATTGTCCCCTTGTCATTGTCCATAGACATTTCAATTCCAGTTTATTTTGTATCACTTTAGTTAATATTTGGTTAACAAAAGAGTAATGTACAGTTGAGACATGATAGACATGTTATTAGTTTTATTTAAAAAAAAATTATTTAACTTTACAACTGTCATAGATAGAGCTTTATTTTTATATATCCGTTTGTTTCTTCAGCCAAAAATATTTATTTTTGTTTTATCTATCTTTTCATCAAATACAAAATCTTATATTTTTTTTTGTAGAAAATAAAGAATTAGAGATGTTCGTGGTTCAAATGATGTACATGAGCATATTTGCTTGTTTGTTAAAAAATGGATAAATTAGGCTGATAATAAATTGACAACATCTAAGTGAAGATAATGAGTTTAATTTTTGTAAAAAAAGGTCATAACGAATGTTATTTACATTATTTTGGCAATGATTAGTGAAATTGAGCTCACAATAATCTACATCGGGTGTATTTTTCAATAATCACCGTAAACGGTATACACCAGTCAATGTCCTTAGCGTGACCTCCACATATCCAACCTTATTTTTATCCTTAACCAACTCAATCCCCACGAACAAATTTTCTACATGCCTTGCTAAAAGTATGAGAGACATGGGACAAAAGAAGCTTCTAGCCAGTACTTTGCTAGTAAACACTCAAAGCAAGAACACAAACGCATCGAATGAGGAAGCTAAACAGAATCCAAGGTGCCTTAATTAGGATGCAATCAGTTATTTAATTTGCTTCGAACATCGTGCCTCAATCACCCTATCATTATTTTCTTTCCTGGCAGATTCATAATCTTATTATATGATCATTACCATGTAAAGCATAATGCTCACATTATGCATGTAAATTAGTGTAAATGTAATATAAAACGTACCCATGCAGCAGGTTTTGAAGCAAGCAAGACCCTCAACTCTGTACACATAAAGGTAGAAGCTTCCTCGATATGTGCATTCATGAAAGTGCGTTGCATTCCTCCTCTCCTTTAGGCTTTATTGGCTTTTCTTCTTTCTCTGTGTACGTCTGTGTGGAGGGGAGGAGCTTTCCTGACAATTTCTCTGCAACCGATAAAGGCAGTGGCACCACATCTTTTTTGTCATCAACAAAGAGAAAGAAACCTCTGCATGTTTCTCATCTTTGCTACCTCACCAACCTAGTGATATACAACTAATTAAAGGGTGATATTTTTATTTGGTTACTATTTAGTTTGCCTATATATGTGTGTGTGTACGAATATAGGCAAATATGGAACTGCGATGAAAATCTGAGTTAATTTATCAGTCGAAAGTATGCACCATAAGATCAACTAATTTATAAAATTGCATTCATTGTCGATGTATATAATGATCATATGATGGTTCTAAAAAGGGTTCAATATCAGGGGAGGCAAACGCTTAGTTAAGAATATGGCGAAAGGGATATGTGTGTTTTTCTTCACGTCATGCTGATGCATGCATACCAAAATAATGATGAGATTACTCTTTAGTAATTTGTCCTCTTCCTTTCGATGCCCTTGGAACACCATAGTAATTAATTAAAGGAGCATGAATTAGCTAGATACGCCGTGTCGGGTTCTCTCAAAGGAAAAATAATATTCTTCATTAAAAAAGCTTTCCATATATGTGTAATCTCTCCCTTCACTCAGATCAAATGGATTATTTTACTGCTGCATGCGTGCTTCCCAAAACCCTAGAATGTTTTTTGTTGACAGGGATATAGGGGAATTTTTTTTTTCTTATGTTCATTTCCCCAATGGCTTTGTCTGCAATGATAGGACTAACTAACTGAGAGCAACCAACTTAAAAGCAGCGGTTAGAAAAAGATTTCTGGATTAGTAACAGGCATGATGGCTTGACCATTGACCCACGAGGACCAAACATGACATTGTACAAGTACAGGGCTATGAGATTGTAAAAGCTCCCATCAGAACAAATTTTGAATTTTCCTGTTTCATAAAATAACCTGTATCATAATGCATTGAGGTTCTGGACACACACGTTTCACTCCTCCATGATACATGTTTTTTCATGTGGTTTTAGTTTTACATAAACATGGCATATACTTTATTCAAATTTAGGGATTTTTTCTTTTGTTTTGCCTATATACATATAAATTGTTTGCCGTTTCTTATTGGTCGAGAGGGTATTAGCCCGGCCTGGTCTTGCAGCTGGTTAATAAACGTTGCTTGTTTTCCCTTTTTGCTCATAACAAAAAAGGAAGATGCATGTTGCTCTTTCTTAGGATTAATTATTCATTGTTTCCAG